TCAAACTTTTTGCGGGTTTTACCCATACCCGGTCAATGCGGGGATTCCCCGCGTTGACTGGGTTGGGGGCGGTCGGATACCCGTGGGCATGGGTCTGATTGCTATCCGTAGGCGGGGGAGGCTAACACCATACCCGCCTCATACCCATCAAACTTTTTGCAGGTTTTACCCATACCCGGTCAATGCGGGGATTCCCCGCGTTGACTGGGTAGGGAACGATCGGATACCCGTGGGCATGGGTTTGATTGCCATCCCTAATTCACTCTCCACCTCTTAGTTAAGCAATATTCCGGCTTCTGTTCAAAAAAGCATTATCCCGGCCCAAATCGAGAGCCCAACAGAATGAATGTCTACCCAAACACTTCCACTTTCCTCATCGGTAAATAGCAAATCATTCTCATTTAGGTTTAGGCAAGAAAAAGAAAAAGGGATCAAATCAGCAGTGGAGAGAAGATAAGCTTTGAGATTGCTGGCGAAAAGGAAGCAGCCGAGCTGCCGAGTTCATCATACAAAGGTGAGCTGATATTGTTCTTAATAAATCATCGTCAGGGGTTCACCCGTGGTGGGTCTTTTTGTCGATCGAATAAGATACTGTGGCTGTTGGGTTAGATCGAAAGCCCAAAAAGAAATCATGAGTATATATATATGGGGAGTTCTACGGTACCCAGGGTGAAATTCGGGGTACCGCATACCCTGAGTAAGAAAATGCTATCCAGAACTTGAATTGACTGATGTTTCGGACATGATACTGTACTCTTACCCTTAAAGATAAAAATCTAGGTCTTATTTCTCTAAATCTTATACCCTAAGATCAATTTAATTAGAAACAATAATCGACGGTTATGATTCGTCCAAATATAGATAAAAAAATCAATGAACCATCTTAGGGTTTATAGTTTATGATTTAGAAAATTAGGACGTAGGGTTCACTCATTAAGGGTTAGGGTATAGTATCATGCCCAAAAATCCTGCTAATTCGAGGTCTAGATAGTGTTTTCATACTCAAGGTATGTGGTACCTCGGATTTCACCCGGGGTACCGTAGAAGGCACCATATATGTAAACCTAGGCACCGATTTTCTAAACCTCAACCCGAAGTTTGATTTAATGAAAAACAAAAACTAACCGTTGAGATCGGTCGGAGCTCATCTAAGTGCATCTGACGGCTAGATCACCTGTTGTATACTATACGCCTGACGTACACCAGTCATTACCATATATATGGTAATGACATATATATATATATATGGTGACGACTTCGGTGCACTCATAAAAATGAGTGCGTTCAATGCACTCAACTAAAAAACTAGTTTTAAGGTGTCAGATTTTGAATTTTAATTTATAGAATTAGTGTAATATGATGATATAACATATGATAACAACTAATTAGTGGATTATTCTAAGCCCTAGGCCTTCAATTTTGAGTTCTATCTCTAAACCCCAAATTGTAAACCCTAACCCTAAATCTCTAAACTCTAAATCCTTTAAATTAAAGTAAATCTTTAATGGTTTTTGTGCAAATTCATGTGCGTTATTGTTCATCAAATCTTAAGTGATGATTGATATTATTTTGACATATATATGATATTATCCCTTTATTTTATTTATGTCTCGTCTAGCACAATTAATAAATTAACATGAGTGGTACTATCATTTCTCTTTATAGGCGTCCCGGGTGCCCACCAGAGGTTCTTTTGAATAGGTCTCAGGTCTACTCTTATGTAGATTTTAACTCATACCACGGGAGCTAAGCTGGGGTAGGAAGATAAACTCGTCTTCAACCGACGTGAGGTAGAAGAAGAAAGAAAGAAAGTTGGGATTAGTCTACGCCTGTGCTTGTCAGTTTTTGTATTTTTAATAACTGGACGTAGGTCATCCTAACTTTCATTCAAAATCAATCGGGATTCGAAAATCTCCTGAAGGTCATACATAAGCCAATAGTACAAATCTGGATCACAAACATGAAAGGTATGGAGACCCAAAGGGATCGAGTATCCCCACTAGCAATAAAATCTACACACTTGTTCTCTTATTTGTACATACGCGAAACATCAACTTGCCAATTACAGCCTTGGAGGTCATGGATGATTGTTGTGTGACGATGAACATCACCATCCTGGCGAAGGAGCTAAACAAACTGTACATCTGGAATTCAGCTGAGGTAGCACTCGACGGTAACCAAGGTCCCAAGGCAACTGAAGCCCTCTCTACATCACCTTGCAATTCCACTAAGGTGATAGAGCACATGTGTGATGTCTCGATTTTGGATTTAGGTTCAACATCAACTACGAGGAGAATTGGATCAACATGACAAGCCGAATTGACATTTTGTTTCACCATGTTTGGATCAAGCTGGGGAGTAAAAAGGGCAGTGAGACACTTATGGTTACAGTGCTGCAAGCTAGGGAAACTTATTTGAGAAAAAGGTACCAACGAAGTTGTTATAGTAAGAATAGATGATCGTGGGAAGGAAGTATAAGAAGAGTGTTGATAGAAGGATGAGTTCCGAGCAAATTTCGGGGACGAAATTTTTGTAAGGGTGGAGGAAATGTAACACCCCGGTATTTTAGATTTAGGTTCGACCTTAATACATGATCGGTTGGGTTGACGGTTAAGTACTAAGGGTTGCAACCGCGGGTTTTGAATAATAATAATAATAAGTATTATATTATTATTAATATTATTATTAAGAATGAGTGTATAATATACAAATTCTAGAATGATTAACCCTAAACTAATTCCTCCACCAGCGGACAAAACCCTAAAACTATAAAAAGGAAAACCCATTCGTCCTTCCGGAGATAGGGAAAGAACAAGGAATGGCAGCGGTAGCGATTGGAGTGGCGTTGCGGTTAAACAAGAGATGGGTTCGTAGTAGAAAGGAGAAGGTCGATAAGGAATGGCGATGTTTCTCTAGCTCGATGGCGGCAAGGATCAGTAGTACTAGAGGTAAGCGGATCGACCTCACTACCTTTAACTCTTGGATTGGGTGTCGGGATTGGACGCCATTACATTTCAGTATGTACGAAGGCGAACTAAGACCACCCCCAACGCCTGTCAAAGGCCCCTTCCATTGTGACGTCGCATTTCATTTGCCTCTTCCATGGATGTGGTACCTATTTCAGAAAGTGGGATTTTCCACTTAATAAAATAGCAAATGGAAGAGCAAGTGGGTGGAGAGTGGGCTCTATCCCACATTTGATGTTTTTTTTTTCATTTTCATTTTGTTTTGAAATTATATTTTTAATAACAAATGATAAAAAAAAGGAAAGGCATTTTTTTTATGTCTATGTATGTGATGTTTTTTTTATTTCATTTCCTTTTTTTCAAATTATCGAAAATTCATTAAGTTTGGATAAATTAAATTTGTAGATTCTGAAAGTGTAATACGAAACAAAGTTCACGTACGAAACAAAGTTTGACTAAAGCTATAATATATTTTTCAATGAATTAGTAAATTTATTTCATTATTGATAATCAAATAATTACAATATATTATTTTAATTATTTGATACATCTTCAATTGATAAAATCATATAGGTTAGATAAAATGTGTTGATGTATTAAAAAGTAAGTTGGACCCACCATATGAATTAGATAGTGGATTTCATGGATGTAAAGGAAATGGAAGTGATATATGGTGAAATGGAAAAAGTGGCTGATGTGGCAGTAGAAGCCACATATGAAATAGAAATTGTATTTCATGGATGTGGATGGTCTAAGGATGAGAAGTGGGTCTTTGTCCATTACAGCTACAAGGAATCAATTGGTGGAGCCCACACGAGCTGTACACGTTTCGCATGATGTTCCCTTGCTTCTTTAAGTTTGAACCGAGGGGATTTTGGCTACATAGCTATGAGAAGAACTATGAAACTCTCGTGATCAATTCAAAATGTGGTGCTCAAACACATGGATTGACGAGCTTTGTGAAATTGGGAAAGCAATTGAGGCTGCAAGGTTGTCGGCTATGGGGTCATCTTAATGAGTGGACTAAAAAGTGAGTGTAAAGGGGTAAAATCTCTGTCGTATGTCTTTTAGTTCTGCTTTTCGTGCAAGTTATTATTTAGTTAATTTTTTTTCTAGTATGCGCGATATGTGTGTGAGGCATCCCACCGCCTGTAAGGGTGGAGACAGCGTTGTGCTATGTATGAATGTATGTGATGTTGTATGGATAAATGGTATGAGGAACCCCCAGGCGGTTGGGTCACTACTGGACGGCGAGACGTAACGCAGTAGTTGACGGGCATGGACTAGACAGCGAGACGTAGTGCAGTGCCATTGCCGAGTTTGGGTATGCAACCGGACGACGAGACGTAACGCGTTTGGCATACTAGGGTAGGACACCGAACAGCGAGACGTAACGCGGTGGTCCTAGTGTTTTGTGTTTGAGTTAAGGATAAAAGTTGAGAACCTCTATGAGTTAAAGTTGAAAGGAGTTATTAAGAATATAAGTAAGAGAAATTCTAAAGATAAACTTGAGGTCAATATCGTTTGTGTACTTAAGTTTTAAGTTTATTTTACTTTTAAATTTAACAGTTGACCTAACAAAGGTCAAAGTATGCATGACGAATAATTATGTGACGCCTAAATGCCTTCCTTTTGGAAGTGAAACATCAACATTTGACGCGTTGATTCTTGAATCTTGACAACAAAGGCCAATTTTAACGGATTATCATAACGCAACTAACTATAATATTGCACCAACCGATGCTGCCATCTATATGGTCATTCATGACCCCAAGGCCAAAACAATTACATACGTTACTGAGCCCAGATCTCATCCAACCAGTCTAGCGGCATGAACATACCAAACACAACTATTTGAACTTTGGCACTAGACCCTAAAGATTTATTTTGAGCTTGACCAGCCGAAATCTATAACTAACCCATATATCTATATCTTCCTTTATCTTAATATTGCATCCAAACCATGCATAACAGCAGATGAAGTAAAGTTCTAGCAGAAGCAGCGTCGGTGAGAGGATATGAAACTCCTTACCCTTATTGGGTTGCTTGCAATATTTCTTTGATATCATATCCTTGGAGCTGATAAATGGAAGAGCCAAAAGAAACAACATCGGGTTAACAGCATTCAAAAAATTTCAAATGCAAGATTCGTTACTATGGAGCTAGGATTTGAGTATTCAAAGCAGGATGCTAGGAGATATATACTAGACTGGGAAAGATTGAACTAGAGGAGGAAAAAAATGTACCTGAAGCAAGGTAAGAACCAAGATCACGCCAGAGTTCCAGCAAGCATGAATGGTAATTGGAGTAAGAAGGTTCCGTGTTTGAGCATAGGAAAATCCAAGCAGAGTTCCTAATCAAGTTTGCTGAATTCTCTTAGTTACTCATCAAGGAAACGAAGCTGTACAATCAACCAAAGCTGTGCATTCAAGTGTGCAAGTATATACCTAAGACAAACAGTTGGGGAAACTCTCCTGGAGTTAGATGTGCTAGAGCAAATACTGCTGCACTAATCACAACAGCTATTGGTGTTGGAACCCTAAGGGAAGTAGGAGAGAGAGAAGTATAGTCCGTCAGCACATAGCAGGCAGAATAATCAATGTATAACTAACAAACTCATATTAGTTATATACCACTTCGTAAGAGAAACCATGAAAAATCCTCGAAAGACATTCTCCTCCAAAATTGGAGCAAGGACACCCGTGATTACTAGCAGTAAACCAGTGCTGCAACGGTGGCGAAAACAAGTAATGCAGTTTCAATCCATACTAAAAATTCAAACAGTGGAAGGGAAAGAGATTTCAACATTCACTTTTTTACATGGTAGCAATTTCGAACTTACCTGATGCCTGAGGATCCGATCAGTGGAAGAAGCCGAACAAGAGCATCAGCCTGCAATAAATAGAAGTGAAAGGTACCTTACATGACAACATGTAGGATGTACAAAGATCAAGAAAAAGAAGCTCATAGAAAGAAACATCAAGAAATTAGAACACCGACCAATTAGATTATACTAGACAAACATGGGACTAATAAGCTGCCAGTAAGATGTCCCACCTAAACCAGAAATGGAAAGAGACTTACTGGAAATAACTCGCCAGTGTACTAGAAGGAAGAGAGATTTCCAAGTTGGCATGACTTAATACAGCCATGGCACTAGCCATTTGAAGCATACACTACCAAGTACTTCTCCATTCGAACTTCCATCATCCCTTATGTCTCTACCATAATAATAAAAAAATAATGATTGAAGGTAAGAAACAAGTTCCTAACCTCACGTTCTTGAGTCTCGCCATTAAAAGTAGAGACAACAAATCCTGTCAATGCAATGGCAAGCACAGCACTTCCAAGACCTATTCCAGCCCACAATAACCAGCCTCTTCGTAGGTTGAAGGGTTCCTTGAAATCTGGCAAAACATCAAACCATCCTGAAACTTTACTGCTTGAATGGCAGAATGATTACAATAAATGAGCCATTGCCGAACTGAATCTGCAGAAGTTGTAATCAAACAACATATTAAGACTGCTTTACCATAGCGATAGATATCTTCAGGAAGCGGTCCAAAGCTCTTCGTAATACTATACATAACTCCAAGTACAACTGCTGTTGTTAGACTGGGTAGGAGCAAAGTTTAGAAAAGTCAGAAACCCGTGGAATTACCAATTTTGCTAAGAAATGAAGTCATCCCCTGTACCTTTGATCCAAAAATAACATCTCAGCCTTCTCATCCAAACTCAACTGTTCAAATTTAATTCCCAGAAATGGCAGTGTCTCAACCTCCACGAACCCTGTCAAAATAAAACTGCCTGCCTAAAAAGTTAATTCACTTTCTGTGTAGCTAGCCAACATCATACACCAATTCAAACTACAACAGTTAGTTACGTATTCCCATGATTGCATCAGTAAAATAATCTTTTCCCAAGAAACAAGTACCCAGATAAGAAAATTTTGAGAATTAACACATCAAAATTAGGAGCAATCGGAAATCAGAACCTAATTCCACAGGCAAGTGATGTTAATGAAACAGTTGGCCACTCCCATGGCACGTCCCATCTCTTGAAAGCAGGCCAATCCAATCCACTCTCCTAAAATCGCAACAAGACATCCCCAAAAAGTCTGTAAATTTGAAAAGGAGAAACAGACAAAGCGCTATCAAAACAGAATCTCGAAGCATAGCCGAACCTTAGGCTCAAGTTTGGTCTTCGACTTCTCTTCTCCAGCATTGAAGAAGCAAACAGGGCGCAATCCTCGGTTAGAAACCCGAATTAGCCTTCCTGGAGCTACCAACTTCGGGATTCCGACTGGAGTTCTCAGTGAAGATGATAACTTGGAAGGAGAAGAGAGAGCGTGCACAGAGGACTGGGCTAAAGAAGTGAAGATTGCGGAAACCATGCTGCTGGGAATGGGATTGGAGCTCAGAACTGGGATTGGAGTAGAACGTTGTGCTGGCTGAGAGATAAGGAACTGGGGGGAAATCTGGAGGCACTGCTTTGGTTGGGCTTGGTAGTTTTCTTTTCTGTGGGCAACATTTTCTCTTGGGATATTTTTTTCTTTTACCGCAGTTCACCAAAGAAACGCAAACATATTCCTCGTTTATAAACCATTTGGTACCAAATGAATTTAGAATTCATTTCATTTTAAAATGAATTCCTGTGTAGAATTCATTGTCAAATGAATTCTTGTGTTTGATATATACTATTAGCGTTACAATCAAATTTTTGTCGATGTTCCTCATTCTGCATGAATTGGCGCCAAATAATATATGTAAAAGTAATTTTGTTAATAAATGAGAATAATTATGTCATTTTATCATAATTGGTAAATACTTGTGGAATTCATTTGAAAATTCCATCTCAATTCCTCGGAATTGCTATAACTAGTTCCAATTCCGTAGAATTCAAATTTTAGAATTGAAAATGAAATCTTTTAATTACCAAACACAAAAAGATTTCATTTCAAAATAAATTCCTAAAAACTTATGGAATTCATTTATACCAAACGGTATGTTATAGTTATTTAACCCACATTGCACACACTGTGTATTTGCTTGTGATTTCTTTTGTTTAGTTTGTTGTATTTTTTTTGGTAGATTTCTTTTCGTAGGCGTTTGCCCCCGATCCAATCGGGGGATCGGATTGATTATAGAAACATGAGTTTAATTAGTCGATTTATTAGTGAACAAGGAAAAATATTATCGAGACGGGTAACTAGGTTGACTTTAAAACAACAACGATTAATTACTATTGCTATAAAACAAGCTCGTATTTTATCTTCGTTACCGTTTCTTAATAATGAAAAACAATTTGAAAAAAGCGAGTTGGTTGCTAGTACTAGGAAGTGGAAACTATTCTAAAAGTGTTATTTGTGTACTAAACTATTCAATATAACAAATATGGCACAAATTATATACGCTTCGGGACATTTGTGTTCTAAACTAATCAATATGACAAATCTGGCACAAACCACATAGATACTGACTAGATTTTCTGTTCAATACTAACGGTCAATGTCGGTCAACATTAACGAAAAAATAGTTCGTTTCAAATTTTTCATATTGAATAGTTTAGAACACAAATGACATTTTTTTAAATAGTTTGAACTTCCTAGTGGAATTAGCCCTATTTTTTTAAAACAAAAGGTAATTTGATTGAAATAGAGATAGAACACATATCAAACTGTCTCATGTCAAAATGGATGTTTTGCAAATAGGAACGAAAATAGGCATAGACTAGCATGATATGTGGGTTAGACACGGTGATTTACCACGCAAATGCCTCAAGAATGAAGGCCAATGGACACCTGTTTTAGGTGTTATCAATCCCCCCACACTTAGGCATTTGCTTGTCCTCAAGCAAACTTTCAATCAAATCATACAACTCGAGTCATCTATATCCCCCCGCACTTGATGGATTCCGTAGGAGTCAGGTTTCTAGTGTCTAGGGTCGTCCTAATTCTATATGATCTTTCTTGATCCACTCGAGAGAGGTCGACATGGATGTTCTCAAAATATGGTGATAGGGACAAGGTGCAAAATAAAGCTCTCAAAGATAGGTGAAAGGATCGGTGCTCTCACGGTTCTTTTCTACACTCTCTCGACAACCTTTTATTCCTATCTAGAGTCTCGCTTTGGGGGGGAGGGGGGTTTATTCGGGTAGTCATTCATATTAAGATGAGAATGTGCACTTAGGCACTTATTATTGTGTGCTTGTTAGCAAGGCAAGTAGGGATAAATTCTCCTACCTATATCTCGGCCCATGAGAGGAAGTACATGGGAGGATGGAAAGCTATCCGGTCTCTCATGCACATTGTCCTAAAAGGCATTCCCATTACTCTAGAACGAATTGCCACACCATGTTGCATTAGAAATTACACCCCACTTTATTCTCTTTTTTTTCTTCCTCTTTTTTCTTTTTGAATGCGAGAAAGCACATAACCGAGCACCTTTCTAATGGTCTAAACAAGAGAACTAGGGTTCGCTCACATGCAAGGAATCAAACAAAACCACTTCGACTCAAGACATCCCACGCACTACGTTCATCAACATTGGTCAAGACAATGAAGAGCAAGATTCAACAATCCGAAGCAAGTAATTGCATTGCAAGCAAATGAGCCAACTTGGAGCCCTCAAAATCTCTCGTCGAAGCATTCAAACATTCATAGTATAAGAAAGATCAATTGATAACAAACATTCCACAAGCATTAATGCGACCCCCCCCCCCCCCCCCCGCGACACACTTACAAAACATATTGTCCCCAGGGGTGAAGAACAGGGGAACGAGGTTACCGATTTGTTGATGTCGTTGATTCCGAGTTGATTGTAGGATCTAAGGGTAGGGTGGGTTTGATCGATTGGTAAGAACATCCACGAGAAAAAGAACTACGAAAAAGATCAATCACATCCACAAAATGAAAATTTTAACAACAAAGTACTAACCATTCAAATAAGAAATCCTACTAAGTACTTAAATAGAAAAGCACACACATAATACTAGCATCCTACATAGATCATTATTCAAATGGAAAGAGATGAGAAAAAGTTAGAGAAATGGCTTGTTTCATTGAGATCCGCGAGTGCATGGTGTTGTAGAGCATTCCGAGGAGGTAGGATTCTGCAAAGACATTCAAACAACACACAAGTGGCACACGAGTCCAATACCTCATTAGGAACTCTCAATAAGAACAATCCCCCACACTTGTTCTTCAAACAAAAATTCAAACTCTATGTAAACAACCAATTCAACAAAATCCACAAAAACATGCTCCATAGGGTTTTGATAAAATTAAATGAGGTAATCTTACGTTCACATGAGAAAAGTTATGATTAAAGTCAACTCTATAGCATAGAAATATCACATTTTAAACCATAAACCATCTAAGTTGCAACTCAACATCACAAAAAAGAGATCACCAAAGTCATATCACAACATGGAAAACCAATTTTTTCAAATAAAGCATTCTATGGTAAACATGTTACAAACCAACTATAACCGTGCTAGGTAAGTTTAGGAAAAGGTTCCAAAAACCTAGAATTCGTCAAGATAGATCATAAATCAAACAATCTAACTCATTGGGGGCATTTTAACAAACACATAGTAGGCAATTTTGCACCTAATGACCACAAATGTGGAAATCAACCCAACAAGCCTCTAGGTTTCTAGCATTCATCTATTTTTCATTCCCATCCCATTCAATCACCAATTTCAATCATTGTCCTCAACTAATTTCAACTAGAATCTAGTATTCCCCCAAATCCCCAATTCTCATTCCTAGGGTTCTAAGAATATGAAATTGAGAATGTTAGGGTGAAACTAGAACCTTAAAACTTGGGAAGAAGACTAAGCACAACAAGGAGACGGTTGGGGAAACAAGGAAAGGCCTCAAAAGTTGATTTTTTCGACGAAGTTCACCAGAGACACCTCGCAAAAGGAGATGGATCTCCGACGGGCGTTGGATATGGCGAGTAGGTTCACAAGAGACACCTCTCAAAGATGAAGGTGGTGGTGATCTGGGATTTTGATTTGATTAAGTGTGGAAGGAGATATGGGGTGATTTGTGTTCGGTGGTGGTGAGAGGAGAGGGAGTTGGGAGAGTTGTTCTGAAGAAAAGAGGGGAAAAGAGTATGAGGATTCGATTTTTAGGGTTTAGCTCCATGAGGTGACGATGACGTGATGGCTCAAGGCAGACACAGTAGGCCGAGCATCACAGCTATGTCACTAGCCATGACAAGGCCGTGATCGCTATTGGTAGTAAAATTCAATTAAATTGTCATGGCTTGGTCGCCGTGACCATGCCGTGATCTGAACATTTTCACCACATTCGACTCTCTAAACTCCCTTAACCCCGAATATTGATTTCCCATCATATCATGCATCAATTGTGATCAATCTTGTTGGTTATGGAGAACTCCTATGACATTCCAACTACCTCTAAACTCACTAAGCACAAGCGAAATCCGAAGAGAAAAAACTAAAATATAAGGAGAAGAAAATGGAAATCGATGTTGGAGTGCCTCCCAACTAGCGCGTCTTTTACGTCTTATCGCTGCACGACTGACTTCAAGTACTCAGTCCAGCTCAAAACCTCCTTGAAGTTGAGGTTTTATCGGCAAAGTGGAATCTCAATTCTTGATTGGTCTCCGGATCATTCAGTGAAGGCTCATATAAATAAAAACTCTTGAGAAATTTCCAATAAAACCTCACTTCATCTTTCTTCTTCTTGTCTTTGCTTTGAACCAAATCAAGCATCCTTGAGGGGTTGTTACACTCCGACATTTGAAGTTTAGGTTCGACCGAACGGTTGGATCGACGATTACGTACGAAGGATTGCAACCGGAGTTTAGAAATAATGATAATAACATTTATAACTATTTTATTATTATTATTTTCATAATCATCCTATCATCACTTTTCCGTCCAGCAAAAGAGGAAAAGAAGGAGAAAAAATAATAAACAATAAACCCCCCCACCATTAAACCCATTAACGCACCTCTCTCGGTCTCTTCCTCTCCCGAAAGGCCACAACAAGTAACTCGTTAACCAGCCCTCTTCCTTTCTTTTATTAAGACATCATCGCAATTTGCTATCCCTAAAGCCATAGCGTACGATCCATATTCCCCACCCCCGCTTTGTCATCGTCTCTTTGTCTCCGTAGCAGCGATAGCGGGACGCCCAGCGGCCGTGCCGAGGAAGCGGCCTCCACTTGTCCTGTCGCAAGCCCTGTGTTGACGCCATCATCGACGATAACTATTCTCTCCTGGCGTTGTAGTGGTAAGGTTCTTGATCTCCTCTGTCCCTAAACTCGTTTTAACCCCGATTAAACCAATGCATGAGATCATCGTAGTGCTCCGTCGACGGCACCGGCGTACTCGACCTCGACCAAACTTTAAAAACTTGGTACCATCTCGTAGGAGGCAATCTCAGGAACACCCCGGTTTCGACGGAGTCGAGTTTCGACGGAGTCGAGTTTCGACGTTGGAGGAGGGAGATACGAGCCTCGAAAGTTTGGGATGCAAATCGGATAGTTCAGGTACCAATTATGTCCATTCGAAGAGTATAAGGACCTAGATAGCAATTTCATTTCAGTCTGTGGAAAAATGACCTTATTAGTTCCACATATTTCTTGTACGAACAGCTTAGTCCCCAGAGTTTTAAACTTTTTATATTCGATCAAAAATGAGGTTTTCTCTAGATTATTGTTATTATTGTTGCCGTACAATGGGTATTTTCGTGGTAGGATAGGTTTATAAATAAGAATAAATCAATAGGGTGTTTGGATATTAATTCAAGGATTTTTGGAGCTGTAGTTCTAATTATAGAAAAAATTGGTGGGAAGACTATTTTAGTTAAATAAAATAGTATGCGAATGTTTTTGCCGGTTTTGATAATTTTATTCAAAGACTCATCCTGTTATGTTTGTCCAGGAATTGTTGGGTGATTTGTTCGAGTTGATTTGATAATTAAAAAAATTTATGTGATATTCGTTTTAATTAATTTAATTATTGTATGTATATATTATATGACTTTGTTAATTTTTTGCAAGACTAGAGTATTGAATTTGTGTAGGGGAATAAAGAACCGGAAATTTAGACATTGGTAGCATAGGTTTAAAAATTATTTATTATATAAGAAGGAGGGGTAATTAAGGTATAAATTATAGTTAATGATTTTGGTTTATGTTTTAGGTTATTAGAAGTAAGAATTTGTAGTTTGAGGGGTCAGGGATTTTTGGAGTGTTCACAAGAATTTTTATGAGATTTATGCAAAGGATTATTTAATTAGTTAGGATGAGTTAATGCATTTTTAAGAATTATGGGACTAAGCGAGGAGAACGGAAAATTTGGCGGAATAGCGACTA